TGGGATTCATACTGCACTATGTCTTTCAAGCGTCTGAAGAAGTGTTTGATCAATTATCCGGTTCTGAAAGTAGCAGACCCTTCATTACCTTCTGTGGTCACGACCGACGCTAGTCAATATGGTATAGGTGTTGTACTCCAGCAAGATGATGGGCATGGGTACAGACCTGTAGAGTTTATGTCTTGCCGCTTACCTAACGAGAAGGTGGCCGCTTCAACGTATGAACGAGAGTTGTACGCTTTGCGTGAGGCTCTCAATCATTGGCGACACTACCTTCTAGGAAGGCATTTTAAAGTATACTCTGACCATGAGACACTTCACTGGCTCAAAACGCAAGCTCGAATGGGCTGCAGAGATTGATATGTTTGACTTTGAGCTGAAGCCAGTCAAGGGTAAGTACAACGTTGTTGCTGATGCACTAAGTCGTAGATCATACTTTTTCGGTGCTATCGTGACTTATCTATATGTAGGTGCAGACCTACAAGAAAAGATTAGAAATGCGTATTCCTCTCATCCTGTTTATGGAGCCATGTTTAAGCTAGTGCAAGAAAGGCCATCAGAGTTTCCCGATCATAAAGTGACTCAGGGTCTGTTGTTTGAACGAACTGATGTGCATGATAGGCTGTGTATACCCAATAATGAAGAGATCAAAAGTATGATCTTGGGGGAATGCCATGATACAGAAGGCCATTTCGGGTGGAAGAAGACCTATGGGACCTTGTTACGTTCCTACACCTGGGCTCGAATGAAAGCGGACTGTATCGCGTATGTGCAGGGTTGCCAAGTGTGCCAACGAAACAAAAGCACCACGCAATCGCCCCTCGGGCTACTTAAGCCCTTGCCTATCCCTACCAGCCCTGCAGACTCTGTCTCTATAGATTTCATGGATACTAAGATCAAAAGCAGGAATGGGAAAACGCAAGTAATGGTCATAGTGGATAGATCCACTAAGTATGCTGTTTTTGTAGCTCTGCCTGCGGAAGCAAAGACTGGATTAGTAATTCGGGAATTCTTTAACCATTGGGTAAAAGACTTTGGACATCCCTTAACTATTGTGAGTGACAGAGATACCAGGTTCACGAGTGAACAATGGCAACAACTAATGAATGTTTATGGCTCTAAGTTGACTATATCATCAGGCAGACATCCTGAAACTAATGGCCAGACTGAGCAGATGAACAAGATATTGCAACAAACTTTGCGCAAGTACATTCCTCCCGATCAGATTGACTGGGATGAACATCTACCTAAAGTTGCTAGTGCCTATAATAACTTTGTGCACCTATCTGTGTAAGACTCCTATGAAGTTACATCTCGGATGACGTCCACGCAGACCCATTGATCGATTAAACCCGGATCAAGTACACAAGCTTCCTGTAGGGACTAGTGAATTCGCAATCCAATATCAGAAAAACATTGAGAAAGTAAAAGAAAATATACTTAAAGCACAACATCATATGATTGAACAGGCAAATAAACACAGACGCCCGTCTCAATTTGCTGTAGGAGATTTGGTTTGGGTGAAGTCTAAAGAGTTTTCTCCTGAAGAGAACATCTCTCAGAAGTTTCTACCCACCTACAGAGGACCTTGGCAAGTTCTAGACGTAATTGGAGATGTGGATGGTCCTTCGTATGTCATTGAGATTCCTCCACATCTACGTACGTATCCAGTGTTCCATGCATCCAAGCTCTTACCTTGTGTAACGAATGAGCTCTTCCCAAGTCGTCGATCAGCGATACCTCCGAGTATGGATGGGAGGTATGACGTGGATAAAATTGTTGCAGAAAGTACTTACCACACTGGACGTAGAGGCAGACCACAACGACAATATAAGGTGAGGTTTGCATTTCAGGATCCTAGTGAGGATTGTTGGTTTACAAGAGAAGAACTATTAGAATCTGCACCTCATATTGTATCTGCGTACGAAAGCGCCAAAAGAGGGATTCATATCCTTGATAGGTAAATCATTCTCAGAGGACTTCGAATTTAGGCCGGCGAGAGTAAAAGGGCCTTTACCCAAATAGGCCTCAGGCCTTGTCAAAGTAACGCAGCACAGACCTTGTAAAAGTAAAGCATTCTGAAAAAGTATCTCGCCAGGGCTCAGAAACGTGAAAGCAGGTCAAAAGTCAAGTTCTCTACCAACAGGCACATCTAAATCTAAGACCAAGGGCATTGTCAAAGGACTTACCTGTTCTCCAGGAGTTGTGTATGTCGTACCTGTTCGGGTAGGAATGTGTTTGTACGTGCAGGCAGTGTGTACCTGTTCGTGCAAAGGAAAGTGTTTGTTCAAGCAGTGAATGTGTCTGTTCGTTAGAGTTGTGCCTGTCCGAAAGTAAAGTCAATAGGCACAGTCCCAGTTTTGGTCTAAGTCAAGGGGTCAGTCCAGATCCAGACTTTCAAGTCCAAATCCAGGCCAAGAGGCCTCAACAGCAGTTGAACTTCATTGGGACTATACTGGGACACAAGCAATGCAGGGTCTGGGACAAGGGACAGGCTGAATTGAGCCAATGCAGACCCAACGAGGAGTGGCCAGCACTATAAAGAAAGCTGCCAGCCTCATTCCTCGCCAGATCTCCACTGGCTATCATTGCGTGGAAGTGCTGGTGCACTTGTGCGTTGAGTCAGGAGGAGCAGCGTTGGAGGATGAAGATGCGCTGAATGGAGGAAGAAGACTGTACGCTGGACATGACGCAGCCATAGCTGCCCAGCGAGTTAGCATTAGTAGTAGAGGGTTAGTGTGTAGCTATGAGTAGTAATCACAGTAGATCCTCATGAGTAGAGAGTGTGTATGCATCGTAAGAGGAAGGAACTGAGATGTAGTGTGTTCATTCAAGGTTTGGCTATGAGAGACACTTACCTGAGTTGGTTGTGAACTGCAGAGGTGGCGCCGATGAGTTGTGACCATATTGATGACTGGGAGACAATCTGCAGGGGTAGCGCTGATGCCTTGGAAGTCATATTGATGAGTTGAACAGAGATTTGTGTTGTGTTGATGAGCGCTGGACTCAAGGGAACTTTGAAACACTTTGTAATCATATTTCTGATAATATAAGTTGTGAAACTCGGTCCTCTTCTTCTCTACCTTTGTCTATGGTTGAGACTATTGATTACTGTGTGTGAAGATGCTGCATGACATGTACACATCTACGTGAGATGGTCCCCAGGACCCATGCATCTACCTCCTGTCCTAAACACATCCTCTTCTACAATGCCCTCTATGTCATAGCTCCCATCCATATCCGGTGGGATCATGGATCTCCTGGAAGGGAACTGTTAACTAGTGACACACGGCAACAGCTTTGAAGCATGAAACACAGGGTATGTGTGGAGGTGTGCTGGAATCTCAATGTTGTAGGACGGTCCATCCTCTCCGCCCTTGACTTCTAGAACCGGCCACGATCCTCTATATGCAGGCAGTACCTTCTGCGAGATGTTTCTTCCGGTGCAAACTCTTTTG